TTGTATACTGACTGTGGGTCCTAATCCACACTGTGCATTTGTTATTCACTAAATTTTCTGTACAAGAAGTTTGAAAACTTTTAATAATCACTAATCTTTCACTATGGTCTAACAATGTCGTGTCTACATGTCACTGGTGCACTTGTTGTAATTGTCATGGATATGAATAATGATCAATGATAAGAATAAATTTGACCATCATGAATCAACTTGGTTTCACCGAAAACACTGTATCATATTTATTTAAATTTATACATATTACAATCTTAATTTTTTTTCTCTTTTTCATGTTTGGTACTGCTTTGTTATATCCCCGCCATCCATATAACAATAAATACATCATATAAATATAAAATAATGAGTTTATTTATTGATATTAATCCAATAATTCGATGACTGGTATATTGATAATATTTAAAAATTAAAATTGAAAAATGGAATAGTAATACTATTAAAACAATGATAAAGTTAAAATGTTTAAAATTATTGTTTCTGTGATTCCCAAAATTCTGCTATATCTTTTAAGATGGTGTCATACGGATCACTATTGTTTAGTTTTGATTGCCATTTAAATTCCACCATGTAAAAGTAAACAATTTCTGTTAGTACCTATAAAATTCATTTTAACGATACACAATATACAATCAATACATACTGTGATGTTTGATCAATATCAGGTTATTAGAGGTATAATTGATTATAAGGTAATTACCTAAAAGTAATAGTACATATTTTCCTTTGAATTATAAACATAATATCATTATTTTAAATTTATACGATGTATTTATTGTTATATGAATGGCGGGGCCATAACAAACCAGTATCATATATTCAAAAATAGTCTAATATTTTAAATATGTAATATATTTTATATTTTAAAAATATATAAATTTTCCAATACTTAATGTGATTCACCAAAAATATAATTGCAACCCAAAGTTTGGGAAGCTCTGCTCTATACATTTCCTTTGATTGTTTTTAATTTTAAAATCAGGCCCTGATAGACCTAAATAAGCTCAGGAAAACTACAGGCTTACTAAAACACTGAAATTTAACAGTCACAATTTTAATATTTTAGGTGTTATTTGACTATTTATATATAAGTGGATTTAGCCAAGAAGAGTTCAAAGTAATTTCCAGTTGGCCTAGAAGAGATGTGAGTAAAAATAACTATATTTTGTTTTATTTAATACTGTTATTTAACAACTAATTTAATTGTTTTTATAGTTAACAACACTAGGTGTAACTCAAACTATGAAAGAACTAAATTTGTATCCACAAGAAACATTAACTTTGGAAGAACGATAAGTCTCTTAATGTAAATGCATGAATGTATAAATTTATTTATCACTAAGATTTTTTTTTTATCAAAAATAAATACGATATTGTTTTTATTATTATTAAAAATTATGATTGTATGCTACCCAGCTTTTCATTTAATATTAAAAATTATCAAGTGTTATATTTTATTTAAATTTGGTAACAGTAAAAAAAAAACCAAATGTTGATGTAATTCTTGTTTATTACAAAACTATAAATTAATATTTAAATCTTCATTTTCTTTCAATTATTATTTCAAAATTATATAAGTTTTTCTTCAAAACTAGTTTATACTACTGTCTCCAAGATGTTATGTTGCCATTGTCCTTTAATACTTGTTTCAATGTTAATTGTCCTTTAGATAGCTTTTTTTTTTTTTTGAGCAAGGTTAATAGTTGAACTTGGTCTTTTTCTTAAATTATAATCTTCAAAATTATTCAAACGTAATTTTTTCTCTAAATCTTTAGCCACCAAAAAATCATTTTGTTGTTGAGTCCACAAATCATTCAACGCTGCTATTTGATCAATGCAAAATGTACAAGGACCATTTGTGGTTAAGTTATCTTGTAAACGTCCACAAGTACAAGTATCCAAATTTTCATCTTCATCTTCAAATATTTCAGATGAATCTATAGTTGAAGAACTTGTGCACGGGTCTGAAGGAAAACCTAAAATGAATTTATTAAATTAAAAAATTGAATTTCAATTTTTAAAATATTCTTACTTAACAATGATTTATTAGGAGATTGAATTTCACATTGTGTACTGGATGAAGATATAGTGCTAGATAAACTACAGTTTTGTGTATTATTCAATTGCACTTCGGAATTATTTTCAGTCGACTTAGCTAATCATACATAAATATATAATATTATAATTTATTAACATTACGCAGCCATTTAAAAACTTCCAAAACATTTTATCGAGAGGTCCTTTTGTAATTTGTTTTTTATGGAAAAGAAGTTATAAATATACTTATAGTCATTTTATTTTTTATATTATACATCTAAGATTTAACTCACTTCAGAAACTGATTTTCTCGTACAAAATGTTGTTTCAGTCGACATCTTGAACATAAAATCATTTGTTTTTTCAGAAAAAAAATATTATTTTAAAATTTATTTCCTCACCTGGTTTTGTTATTTTGTTACCGTGGGTGCGAATCGTCGCATTTTTATCTCTATGTATAAAGGAAAATTACTTTAGGAATAATCAACGCAGAGCCGAACCTATTTGAGTTAACGACTTGACATTTTGAGGATGGATTAATATTATAATGTCAAGTTCCACTAAGAAAAGATTTTTCAAAACTTTGATTTTAAAGGGCTGAAATCTGCAAAAATAAATTGTTTACGTACACATTGCATATCTATATACATAGTTTATACTTTTATAGCACGGTGACCTGTAGATAAGTAATCAAACAGCACTAGTTTAAATTACAAATAACATCCTAACAATATATTTTAAGATATAATACAATGTTTATATTGCATTACTATAAATGTTGACAATAAGTATTGAAGTGAAATTTAAAATTAAATAGATACATAGACTAATCATTGAAAATTACTTACCGAAATAATAATGTTCCTTGATGGAGTTTTACCTAGTGTATTTAATATTTATCCATACCTACGGGAGGATAGTCAGCTGGATCCTGAATCTTATTAGCTAATTTTTGGTGTAATTCATCCACCTTGCTGATACCAGTAAAATGTTACTGTCAACTGCTTTTTTATATGTACTACGGTAGCCATCACAGAATATTAAATGCGTAACCTAAAAATCAAATTAGGACAAATTAACAAAAATTGTTTTGTAATTAATAACTCAGCTTAATATACACTTTTTGATTGAATGTTTTTACGACTTCAGCACCTAAATCAATAAGACGTTGACTAATGCAGGTATCACCGCGATCATTGTCGATTTTATAATCAACAAATGCAATAACTCCTAAATCATAAACATTTGTAAAATTTTTAATTTTTTTTGGCACAGAACATAAAAATAAAAAGTACCTTGTGGAGCTAACTAATTACGAATATTAAAAGGCAAAAAAAATCTCTATTTTTTTGGAAAAAAACCAGTAAGTAAGTTGTAAGTAGATATATAGTATTATTTATGTAACATATATAAAAATTAAAAACGATTGCGAAGAGTTACAGATGAACTTATGATTAATTCTAAAGATTTTTACTTCTATTATTATATTTTTAATCACTATAAAAATTTTGGGTGGGTACCTAACTGTGTTTTTAACTTAAGCTAGTAGGGGTTTACTAATCCATAACTGTATTTATGTAGTTAAGAGGATGTCAGAGAATTTTTTCTCTTTTTGACCTACGCACAACGTTATGATTATTATCAATATAAATCATTATTATGAACATAAAATTTGCTATAGCATATTTTGTGCGTGTGAGCCAAAGAGAAAAAAAACATGCGCTGTTATTTTAATTTTAATCGTTATTTATAAATAAATACAATATACCTACACAAAAGTTTGTTCATTTAAATTTTTTTATTTATATAAAAAAATTATTTAATGTAGAAAATCATCGAGAAAATCTTATAGGTATTAAACGATTGATCCAGACCTACCTATTTAGTACTGAACCAATTTATAAGAAGCTTGACATAATGTAGAGTAGTACAAATTGTTGAGTAAAAGAATCAAATTTATCAAAATTATGAACCTGTATTAAATATTGTATTGTGACATTGCTGTAGTTCTGAGATTTACCCTGATACTCAGTAACTGTTAATTTCAAAAAATATGTCAAAACTCACTGATAAAATTCACAGTATTACCATGTATATAAAGATAATTCAACTCTAAAATTGAACTCTAAGAAGTTAATTTGACAAGGATTTGTTTTATAATAAATACATAGATTTAATACTAATTGACAGAGCATGGTAGTACCACCGGTGAATGTGGATAACATTGATTGTGTTGTTCTACACTTCTAAGCAGTGAGTATACCCCCACCAGATTTAAAAACAAAAACAGCATAAACATGTAATTACTGTATTATATCTATCGTGATTCATGAAAATGTTAATATTTCTTACAAGTGTTAAGTGTTTCTTGATAGAAACATAGAATACATTTTGTGCGAGTAACTTGTCTGGTTTCTGATTTCAAAGTATCTGCCTATTGAATTATTGTAATAAAACATAACAACTTGCCGTCACCGCACCACCCATCACTACCAGCAATATATGCTTCGTTATTAGTATAAGTTCTACGAATAAAATATAAAAAATATACTTAATCTTAATGAAACATCTTTTTTAGAACTTTTTGAGATTTCTGATCATTATCATCCTCCTCGATATTTATTTTCGACTCATTTCTTATGGTTGTTCTAGAACTGTCTTGTAAGTGTTTTGTGAGGTTGTCAGTTAATACTATTGAAATATTACTCGAACTCGTCCTGGCACCCATTAATGAGAACAATTCTTTTTGCGCCTCGTGCATTGTTTTCATGAATTTTGCCGTGGGAATAAACACTCTTTTAGGTCTAGTTGGAGTTACAAATAATAATTCTTCATAAGGTAATTTCATTTTTCTTTTGATCCTGGTGTCTTCCTAATCGATTTGTTTTGAACCTCTTCGTTACTGACGCACTCTTCAGGTATGAGCTCACCAAACAGGCCTCTGTAACTTTCCAACGATATTTGTGAATCTAAAGTCACTTCGATATCAAAATCTTCGCACAAATCTAATGATGTTTCATCTGAACCGTCAATGTGTAGTTTCCTTTTTTTACAGCCACTGACTCGTCGAGACGTAATTTTCCGCGACATAATCGTAGTTGTACACTGTTAGGCGGTTTTAGCTAAATAATAATATTTATTAAATCAAGTCATGTTACACGAACATCATTACCTTATTCTGCAATTGAGTTTTTATTTCCCTCTTGAATATGAGATGTGTGTGCACTGATGAATTAAAATACGTTATTAATGTAACAAGAAACATTAATAAATATTTATTTATAATACATTTATTTAGTTATTAAATAATTACTTTTGGGTATCTACAAAATATGAATATTTTGTGAACTTATGTAAAACTTCTGTAACAGAATTTTTCTCCGGAAACTCAAGTGTCTAAAACCAAGAAATCAATACTAAAATGATATAGTCATGACTTATAAAAATAAAATGTAACTTACTACGTTTACGTGGGTTGTCTCGTGAACTGAGCGATCGAAGTCTAAGGCGTCCCTTAAAATAAGTGGTATTTGAAATTTGCTCAACTCATTTGGAAAGAGCTCAAATAAAACATTTTTAATTAAATAGATAACTAACTCAATTCCTAACTTAATTTTTTACACTGTTTGTTATAGGTACCCTTGAACAAGGAATAATGTTTAATTCACTATTAGCAACAGCTTGAACAGCTACTTCATCTTCTACATCTGGAACTGGAACAGTTTCATTTTCTACTTCTAGAACTGCTTCGTGTTCTAAAACTACGATTTCAGTATCTTCTAAAGCTGGGATTGCTAAATCTTCTAAACCTGGGATTTCTCCGTTTTCAAAAACTGGGATGGATTCGATTTCTACGACTAGGATTGTTTCAATTTCTACAATTGTGTTTTTTTTTATTCTCTACAAATGGTTTTGCAGGATTTTCAACATTTTTTCTGGGCCTGCCTAGTTGTAACAAAAAATTGCAATGAAAAATACGAAATATAAAATAAATATTGAATTAAAATACAAACCTCTTTTTCTTGGTTGTGGTTTTGATGCATCATCTTCGGCGGTGTTTGAGTTTTTCGATTTTCATTTTCGACTTTATACAATATGATAAATATTTTTTTTAATAAATGATGATAAGTGATGAGTAGTTATAATTTATCAATTTCTTACCGTTTAGATACTAGTCTTTCCTTATGGCCAATATTAATTTCATTTATTTCGAACACTTCATCCTGATCATTCC